GCGTGCATGCTGCTACTGCACGCATGCATGCAGCATTTATAGATTAATTTATTGGCTACGCCGGCCAAAAGAAGCCAATTGTGTAAATTTTCCTTTTATCAGTGCCAGTATGATATGGACCAATATATCGGTGCACCTCTATTATATGTACATCTTTTTCCATATAATGTAACGGAATCCCTGAAGTAGGTACTGTACCATTGTGTCTGCTATATGTGTAGATAGATATAGAGTGGGTGCCTTTTATTTCTGTAGAGTACCAAATACACTTTTGGTGCCATATGATCATAAAACAATATTCTGTTTTCCCAATACAGGGTGGAAAAGGAAGGATAGGAGTAGTGATATCATCATATATGCATTTCACCAATGTTTCTGCAAGGTAAGAAATCACTGAAAAGTTCCTGTTAGTAGTACTGTTGTACACTTGCCCATTTGACATTCCCATGCCAGTTTTAGTCAGATGGTGTTGAAATGTCTTGAAAATTATTTAAGCAAGTGTCACATTAAGAAGGTGAGCTTTTACTGTGTGGAAAATCATCCAGGATGATAATTCTTAAACACTGAGAAAATGTGTAAAATACTTTTCGTTCATATATTTTAAGAAATCTTGTCACTTTTATTTTTGGAATCCATATGTGTGTCTTTACATCTGTAAAAATAGCACCACAGAGTCCATGACTAGGACTCTGGAATTACATTGGTTTGATGAAGATTAGAATCTAGCCCAAGACTGTGAATTACTCATTCAGTGAATGAAATCTTGAATCCATTCAACTTAAAAGCAAATAGCCACTTAATTGTGATAAATCTGGTGAATAGATGAATAATAAAACATGGACTGGAAAATGCAGTTGCATCCTTTATACACAATAATATGCTTTAGAAACTGAAGCAATACTCTCACCTTTAGAATAACAACTCATCTTTTAGGACTAGGATTGTCATCATTTTACCTTAATTCTGGAGCACAAACAACATTTCACAAGGACGTTGCTCTGTGTTGCAACATTACTTCAAATTAGGGGTGCACCGATAAAGATTTTTTGGGCCGATACCGATGGCCAGTTATTGACCAGCCATATCAGCCAATACCAATCCGATTGCCGATATGCAGTCCAGCAGCTTGAAGAGCAGCATCCGGCTGTTAAGTCTGTTGAAGGGGAAGGAGTGTGGGGGAGGGCAGATCAAGGCCCCAATGGTGAGGGAGGAAGTGGGGCTGGGGTAGGCACTGGGGATAGGGCAGGATGTGGGACAGAGCCAGTGGCTTGTCCAGATAGTGTGCTGCTGCACGTATCCCCAAGGGAGGCATGGGAGGGCATATGCCCCCCCGGATCTGTGCGCAGGGCAATGGTGTGCTGCCTGCTTGCGCTTGGGGCTGGGGCTGTGCCAGCCTCTTCCCAGCAGCTGCACTCGGGCTGGTTGGGGCAGGCAGCAGCGCTGGGAGGAGAGTTACAAGGGGGACTAGAACCACCCGAAAATTCACTGTAGCTCCCCCTCTCAGCACTGCCCACCCTGCCCCGCCCAGCCTGAGTGCAGCCACTGGGAAGATCCCAGTGCAGCCCTGGCCCCGAGCACACAGCAGGCAGCCCACCCTACCCCATGCACAGATCCAAGAGGCACGTGCCCTCTCATTTCCCCTGAGGGTGTGCACAGCAGCAGGACCTGCATCCCCTAGATGAGCCGCCAGCTCCATCCCATGCCCTGCCATGTCCGGGCATTGCCTGCCCCTGCCCCAGCCCTCCCTCACTGTTGGGGCCTCGATCTGCCTCCCCTCCTCCCTTCCCCCCACCTCCCACACACTAACTGGCTGGACGCTGCTCTCCAAGCTGTTGGGCTGCATTCCTGGCTGCGTGCATGCTGCAGCTGCACACATGCACGTGGCATTTATCGGAGACATTATCGGCCACATCAGCCAAAAAAGCCAATTCCTGATAATGTCAATTTACCTTTTATTGGTGCTGATATGACATGCACCGATGTATTGGTGTACCTCTACTTCAAATGATTATGACATGGGATACAGTATAGTAATGTCCTGCCACAACTACATGATGGCATGATACAGTGGTAGAATACTAGAATGAGAGATGATGATGCCTTCTACCTGTACTAAATTCACGATTTCTTCTAGCTTGGCTGTGAGATATGGGAGATACTGGAAACTGTCATATAAACTCCTAGATCTTTTACAGCTCCCATTCAAACTTTTCATATATTTGCTGGGAGGCGGCAGCGAAGGGAAGCAGTCTCTAGCAAGTTCTTAATTTCTAGAAGATTGTCAGTGCTGTAGGCATGCCAGCATATTCAGGCTGAGAGAGAGATCCTTGGCACTAGTGCAAAATTTTAAATACAGACTGTGTATGTTGCATAACAACTTAGAAAACTTCCGTCTCAGTTATGGTGAATTTGAAATGCTGCAAGATAAGAATGACAGAGATTGATAACTTTCTGAATAACTGTATGTGGAGGAGAACACATCACCTGCCAAGTAGACATATTAAAAATGAGCAAGTATGAGATTCAGCAACAGATAGCATAGAAGGGGCAGATTTCTTCAGTACACCACTAAATAATTTGTAGCCTTATCGTGTCATCAACTTTTAAGAAAAACTCCATACTGAAAGTAGCAGGGAGTTTTTTTTTTCAAAGTGAAGGAAAAATCTGCATAGTTCTTAATAAAGAATAATTTTTTTCAGTTAGTTTTTACAATATGCTATAAGAGTGATACACACATTAATATTACATTTACATAAACATAAGTTATTATGTATATTATTTACTACATAAATTATTATGTATATTATGTATATTATTTACTATTGTCCTAAAGCACCTACAGTTATACACAAAGGACCAGATTTTACTGCACCTGTTAGGCATGCAAGTGGACTTATCTGTATGTATCACACAGAGAAAACTGCACATTATATCGTTAGCACTTTGGAGCTAGTTGCACATTTTTCATTATAGACTGTATGGCAAAAGTTGGGGATTTGAACACAGGAAATAGATGGCTTAGAAAGGAAACTGCCTGAAAAATGGAATTTAAAAAATGGCAGATGAAAAAATGTGTTTGCCTGACCTTGTGAACAGTTAAATGTTCCAGTTACTTAAGGTATATTTGTTAGTTGTTTTTTATGCTTCAGTCTGTAATTTGTTGAATTTCTATGATAGGTCCCAGTGGAGTAACGCATTATGTATGTCTCTCTCCTGACAGTGCTGATCAGGCTTTAGACAGATTTGCTATGAAGAAATTCTTCGATGATAAAGTTTCAGTGTTAATGCAGCCATCCCAGAAAAGGTATTGCAGTTGGTTTTAATCTATTTTACTAGTTAAGTAAATGCCATAGTTCTCTGCCTCATGGAGGGAAAGACATTTTCCCTTAGTTTTCAGGAGTCATTTTGCCCCCCCACATCCCTTACACCCCCTGGTTCTGACAGTCTGACTTGTATTAGTGTCTCTTGACTGAGAAGATCTTCCTCTGGATCTACCTGTGTACAGTTAGATAATACTGTGGTATGGAACAAAGGTTTTATCATATGTGTTTGTACTTTCTTAGTCCTTGGCACCAAAGTAGGCCAAATTCATTTTCAGAATCTCTGCAGAAGTTTGTAAAACAGTTTTACCATAGTGTGTGCATGTTGTATACAGATTATATGGTAGGATTTTTATCCTGTGCTGCACTATCTACACATTTTTAGAAGATCTGAAAATAACATGGCCATCATTGATTCATGGCAATAAAACCTATGTCACAGCACAGGATCTTGTATTCTGTTTGTCGCACTATCACCTGCTTTTATCTGCCTTCAGAAATTAGGTTAAGCCATTACTTAGAGCAGATGGTTTGGAAAGTAAATAGGACTTGTGTTCTCTGGGCAGGAAGTCTACCAAATTTAGAAATAAAGTAGCAGACAATTCACTACCAAAAAGAAGAGAGCAGTTTATAGGTGTCTACTAGACCACTGGTGTATAACAGTATAACAAAATCTTCTTTTGAAAGTCTTAAAATTGTGTATTTAACAGTTTTAGCACTTGTTTAAGGAAGAAGATCTCATTTATAGCTATAAAGAACAAAATCATATACTAATAATGAGGCAGAGGCAATTAGCTTTTGGCTGTCTCTTATTGGGAAAAGCTGGACCTATTCTGTGACCTACACAGTTATTGCTGATGTTAAAAATAGCATTGTCCCATAAGACTTTAAACAAATGCTAATAAATATTTAGCCTAGTGAGCTTCTTATTCATTCAGCTCTGTGTCTGCAAATATATCTTGTATTATTAAAATGTGATACACTTGTAAACAGCACGTACTGAGTGCAAAGGCCTGCATCGTGGGAGCAGAAAAAATGAAACAACTGAGTGCTTCCCTCTTCTTCCCCCCCAGATGCCTTCTGTAGTATAAACAGTGGTTTTTAACAACCTCCCCCATCTGCAAACATGTTTCCATGAGAACTAAGAATTCTTAAAGCAGTGTCTGCTGACTCTGTCTCATGGCAGCTATTACAACTGTGTTGACAGGAAGCTTTAAAAGCTCCTCACTTGTATGCTCTGTAGATGAGCCCTGAAGTCAAAATAAGTATAAAATGCAATATTCTATCTGACATGCTTCTTTGAGATATTTGTTTTAGCTCCTCCAAGACCTCTGAGAGGCACTAATGCACCTCCTGACTGATGGGATTAGCATCCTTTTGTGTTACAACTGATATATAGTATAGTGTAGGACAGAGTTTGCCCGACAGAAGCATTGCCCAGGAACTCAAGAAATACAGTAACTTGTGTGTCAAAATCCACTGCCGATCAAGTCTAGCCTCCTACCTCTGGCTCATTGCAGAGGGGTTGGAACTGCCTCACAATGTTTTTGTCTGATTTGCCCATGTTGAGCAACTGATGCCATGAAGCATGTGAATAAATTAAATAATGTTTTCTGATTTTTATCTTGCATAACTACTACTATAACTATTACTGGATTTTAAGTTGTCCACAACCTTTGTAATATATAGCTGATTATGGATACATATTATTTAGGTCAATCTTCAAATATTAAAATATGGAATTGCACTCCCATGTCTTATGTACAATATGGCTCCAAAAGCTTAGAGTTCCTGTCTTCTAACCTACTTACTTCTACAATACTTACTTAGGCAGAATTTTCAGTTATTTTGCCTGAATAAGAACTGTAGATTTGGGTCCTTTATATACAAAAGTTGAATTAATGTTACTTTAAGTTGAATCAAGTATTTGCCTAAAACAGCTGAACAATCAGCTGAAAACACCACAAGAAATGTGCTGGGTGGAGGAACAGGATTCAAACCAGACAGGGGCCTAAGCTTTTGGGCTAGGTAAGGAGACAAGGTGACAAAGATAAAGGGTTGAACCAGTGTCATCAGTGTGGTAATGTCTGACTCCAGCCCCTGCTGCCGGGCAGATACAGCAATCTGCTCTACTGCTTGAATAAGTACTCCTGACAGCTTGGAGGACGAAAACAAGAATCAACATTGACCTTTGTCAGTGTCTCCTGTTAAATGACTTGTATATAAAAATAAATCAATTAAAGAAACTAACTCTGCTAAGGCAGCCTCCAATCTAAGGAAGTAAAGACATCATTGTTATAACAAAAATACAACAGTAGTGCCAGCTGATCAGCAGGGAATGTAGGAATGTACTAGTCAATTTTGTTTTAGTATTTAATTTTTCTATTTTTAAGAGGGTGAAATTAAACTGATTTAATATTGTGGAGGTGGGGGGAAATTGGTTCAGAATTCTAGTTTAGAATTAGTTCAGAAATCAGTAAAAATTGAAAAGGAAAGGATTTATCCTACATTACCTTGTGTTTTTATTCACTGCATACAGAACAATTCCCTATGCTCTTCTCTCTTTCCAATAATGGAAAGTATAATTTGCTTCATACAGTGTCTTAGGAGTGTTAACTAGGTATTAATGGGAACTGCAGGGAACTTTGTGCAAGCCACTAACCCACTATCAAGTAGTAGTGACCCGAGTTACAGATAATATGGACTGGAGTTGGTGACCTTTACCAGCTTCCCAAGTTGCCTATTTCCAAAACTGCTAGACTATACTCTTGTGTTTGAGTGCAATGCAAGTGTTACCCAGAACAGCAATACAATTGCCAGCAATTGGAAAACTCGATTAAATAGGAGCATCAGTATGTATTCTGGTGCAGTCTGAACGGGTAAGAGTTAGACCGCTCCCTCCCCTCATGTGAAATAGGTTCTATAGAAGACTGCTCTTTCGGTGGGGTGGTATTGGCATGTTCTCTTGTGGCTAATGAGCTGTGCATTTTCAGGTACGTGCAGTTCTTAAGTGGCCTTCTGTCTGGATCTGTGAAAATGAACACCACCCCACTCTTCCTGCACTTTGTCATCATTCATGGCATCCCAAGCTTTGACGCTGGAGGAGGTGAAGTATTTTTACACAATGAGTTTTATCAGAGACAAGCAAACTGGTTCTGTGTGCACATACCATGCTGTGGGATCCTTGCCTCCTAAATAGCTTTGTTCCCTTTGCACGGGAGACTGAGTCCAGCTATTCACCATTGATATCAGGAAAAGCCTCTTCCTGGTCAAACAATGGAAAAAGAGGCAGGGGACTTCCTATAACCCCTTCAGGTCTCTTTCAGCAAGACCCTATTGCTGGTTGTCTGTGGTCTTGGATATTTTAAACTTTCTAAGGCTTGCACCACAGCAAGAAGACCCTAAAGGAGCAACAGCAAGCTATGCTTCTTTATAACTATGGCCAAGAAAAATATATTTCTGGGTGCTACTTAAATTTGGGATCAGGAGTATAGCTTTGTGGCCTCATTGCTGCTTAGAACTACTCATTTTTTATTACTATTATTCTGATGAAAACTAAAATATTGGTCATTTTGTCAGAAGAAAAATTCAGAAGTTTTTCTATGGAAAATGTTTAAAACAATTTAATTAAAAAAAATATTTGGTTATTTCATTCATTTTGTTTCTCATATATTCTTTTCACTTCATCTGGGTTTTTTTGGTCATCTCCCTTCTCTTTAGCTTTTTTCCAGTAGAAAACTGACCCGAGGGAAGGACCGGTTTTACCTTTTCCGTTGGGTTAGGAGAACTCAAAAACTTGAAAAATGTCATTGGAAAATTTCCTCTTAATTCAAATTTTTCTGTAAAAATGTTCAGTTGCTTATTGGGAAAAAAATTTAACAAGAAAAAATCATTGCTTCCAATTTAGGCAAGGTCTGAATATGGTGCTGCCTTCATGCAGCCTATACCCAGAAATACTTAAGTATATGAACTTTAAAAAATAATAATTTACAAAAGAAATAATAAACGTTATGATATTTTTACAATGTTTTTTACAGTGTGTCGGCCCTTTTTGAAACTGTACCAGGCTATGCAACCCATTTATACATCAGGAATATAGTAAGTATTGGTAACATCTTTCCCTGATTTTCTTTCCCCATTCTTTCAGTCGCAATAAGAAGCTAATTCCCTTCTCTCTCTCTCTCTCTCTCTCAAAAGAAGGTCACATTTACTTAAACTTCTCTTTTCTTCTCTTTCTTGTTAAGTAGCTTAGGTCCAGAAAATCAAAGCAGGGTTTGCATTGCTATTGAGCCAGCCCAACTACTGAAGGGAGACATTATGGTAAGTACTTGATTCACATGCCACAAAATTAACTGCATCTACTAGATAGTGAGCTAAACAGTAGGACAGTGTATCATCATTTTTGCATTCTTGTATAAACAGAATGAGAAAATAGTCTTTAAGACACAAAGAAATAGGCTATTAAGCTAACCTTCTTATGTTTTTATTTTAAGTAAAATTTTTCTTCAAAGTATGACCGTTTTAAGAAAATAAAATATATCATTACCACCAAGTAAGATCCATAGCCAGAAGTCTATTTGTTTTCAATGTACTTTGAAGTAAATGTTTGACAGGTGTTGAGTTTTGAAATAGGAGAATCTACCAGCCTTTGAATACTTCCAGCATCCACACATATATAACAAACACTCTTTGTATAATACACAGTGTTTGCATGTGAGATATGCAAAATACAGTTATATCATTTATAAAGCCACTATTTTTCACTTGTACACAATATTCTGAAAAGAAAGCAGATATACAAATAAAATAAAGAAGAAATCAAATCAAGAAAAAAACTAAGTCTGTATATCTTCCAAACATTTTCCATTGAATATACCCTATGGGTAGTGGTAGGACCATAATATACTTCTCCTACGTGAATTTTCCTCCAATCCCCTGCACTGCCAGTATGTTTCAGAATTTTTTTCATTTTTTTCTGAAAAACATTGGAAATGAAATATAAGGAACATTTTTCCTCTTTTCCCCTCCATTTAGCTTTTATCTCTTTTCCTTCACTCCCTCTTTCTTTTTTCACTCTGCATCACTTCCACTGGAAAGTGAGAGAGAGAATTTCTAATAAGTCCTACACTAAAGTGCCCACTGCTAGGAGTATGTGCGTCACTGCCTAGGTTTAGAAGGGTAGAGGAAAGAGGCAATAACCAACTTCCATTTTAATTTCTTTGTTTACTGGTTTGTTATACTAATAATAATGTGTGAAAGTGTGTATATAAAAAATAACCCCACCTATTTCTTTCAGAAGGCTTTTACTCTCAAACCACTTTGCAAATGAGGGCAATATAATTATCCCCATGCGGTTATGGGAGGCAATTTTCTGAGCAAACCAGTGCCTTATTCTATATTATTTCTTAAACAAAAGTATTAACTCTAATTATGAATATTAAGATACAAACTAAACCATCAGTGGCTTCAGAAAATGAAGCCAACTCAATAAGACTTGTAGTAATAATAATAATAATAATAATAATGATAATATATTATTATATATACATATAAAGATTCTGAAGTCTGTGCTGAGGCTAGGTTCCAGAGGGCTTGTTTGATATGAACCTATTATTGTATCTATTGCTGGGCTCATTTATTTATTTGATTTATTGTAAGCCATTGTCCCCAAAACGTCTTAGGGTGGCTTACAATAAAAGTATCATCATAAAAATATTTAAATTATAAAATAATTTTCTGAACAATATCCAAAGACTTAATCCTACCTGCTAAAAACCTGCCCAAATAAGAAGGTCTTACACCACTTCTGAAAGACGCCCAGGCTTGGGCTCTGGTGGGCCTCAAAGGGAAGGGAGTTTTAAAGCTGAAGAGTGACTACCATGAACAACCTCCATTGTGTTTTTGCCAAGCAAATTTGGTGCACACACGGTATTTGCAGGAGGCTCTTCTTGACTGACCTTAGGGATAGTGATTGAAAAAAGGGAGGAGTGGGTCCCTTAGGTATGTAGGGCCCAGGCCATTTAGGGTTTCATAGGTCAAGAAAAGCACCTTGAATTATGTCCAGAAAGCTATTAGAATCCAGTGCAGACTCCGGAGTACTGGTGAAATGTTCTTCTAGTGACCCACTCCTGTCAGAAAGTAGGCTTCTTTGTCTTTCACAAGCGATAGCTTCTGAATGGTCTTCAGTGGCAGCCACATGTAGGGTGCATTGCGATTGTCTAGTCTCAAGTTTACAAAGGCATGGATGACAGGGGCCAGATCTAAATCTGAAAGAAAGGGTCATGACTTTCTCACCTGCATAGCATGACCCTGATAGGCACAGTTGCCACCCTAGTCATTCATTCCCAGTTCTTATCACCTTCCTCTAGCCATTCCATCTCATCCTGTCCCCAGGGCTGACAGTCCACACAGACCCAGTTTCATTGGGGAAAGCTAGGGGAGATGTCTTAAGCCTGCACCTTGGACACAGATTGGACAGACAAACAAATGGAGAAGAATCGTACTCCAGCCTGTAGATTTCTTTGTTGCCTTTCATGCAGGAGAGCATCCTCCACTCACCCAGCCCAGGCTTGCTTTTCAACCCCTCATTCAAATTCTCCATTAAATAAACTGTTCAGTACACATTCCCTCCCATCCCCACCCACTCCAACACTCACCCAGAGAAATCTCTTCCTACTTCCTCTAACATCCCTCCCAAAACTGTACCTCTCTGTCACAGGGTGTCTCTGTACCTGGCTGTCCCTAAAGTTATCCCCATTCCCCCCAGCAAATATATTATATAATGACTTGTCTCATGCAGAAAATTTTAAAGGCAGTATTTTAATAAATAGTGCACAGGAGCACGAGATAAATTCAGAAATGCTCCTCTGTTCTTGTGGAAAAACTGCCTTGGCATACATAAATGTGCATAGATACATCTCAGCATATGTCTTTGTCTCATAGTTCTTCTATATCCAGGCCCCAAGGTCATTGTTTCAAGATCCGCAATTTAATTTAGGCTTTACATAAAGATTATATGTAAAATGAAGCCATGCTGAAAGATACTTCTATTTTCTGTCTCCTATTCATTTGCTAAATAAAAGTTCCAGATCAAATTAGTTCATTTTATGTAAGCTATTACTGATTATAAACAGCTGCTGATTTGCATACATCATCTCCTCATGGCATAATTAGTTTACATCTTACTAAGTGCTTTGGATATCTGGAGTTAGGAAGATGAATTCTGTAGGCTTGTAGTACTCTGTTCAACTCTACAAAATGACGCGAATTAAAGATGGGAAGATCTTCGTTCTCCAGTCAGTACAGATTTTTTTTCCTCATAGCATCTGCTCAAGTGTTTTGTGATCAAATCATGCACTTTCCACCTTTTCTTTGAGGAGAGTATACCAGTTTAATGGATTTGAGTCTAATGCTTTTGATGTTTAGCCTGTATATCCTTAGTTGAAATTCAGTCCCCTATGAAAAAATGAACAAGAACTAATTCTTTGCTAGCACTGGTCAAACGTGCATATGGGTAAAGTAAGGCATGAACAGAAAGGTTAGATTCAGACAGGCCAACTAGATGCTCTATTGATGTCTTTTGGCTCTACAATCTGTTAAGCTATTAAATAACTCAGGCATTTCACTCTTAAATTGACAGAGATCATGTAGATTTTATTTCAGAAAGGAATGTTGGTTCAGCCTGCTTTCTAATTCCTCTGTCAGCACCCAGCACAAACAGCAATGCGTTTAAGATGTAAGTTCAGATCTGGATTTTAAATATGCCAGAGTTTGGGCCATATAAGATTTTCAGTTTCGGACTCAAATTCATCTTTTAGCAGCCAGGGAAACGACATGGGCTCAGTGAAGTGGGAGGGAAAGGCAGCACCTAACCAGATAAGGCAGTGTTTTTCATGTCAGTGTTTTACAAAACCAAGAATGAAAGATTTTTTGCCAAAATGTAGGCCCCCATCCTTCAGTGATCCCCTACATAAAGCCTCATTCTACATGGTCCATTGCAGGTTCAGGACTCAGGTTCACAGTGCAAGAACTCATCTGCATAAGATCCTTGACTTTATACTGGCCCAAATCAACAGCAGCTTCATGAAGACACATCGCCCTGTGTATTTAATGAAAAATAGAAAGGATCAAAAAGTGACTGGGTCCATGTCAGTGTAAAAAGTTAGTTGGCCAGTTCATCAGTAAAGGGAGGCAAAAGTATTTTTCAGGTGCCAGGCCCTCTCCTTTGCCTCCTGCCAGTATCTGTGGCTTACAGTTGAGTGCTCCTTTTTAACACTGCTCCTCCTATCACAACTTCTAGCACATAGGATCTACACAAGCAACAGGATGACCCGACACACATTCACAGAATAGAGAAATGTGTAAATGTATGCTTGATTTTGAACCATAGGAGTAATATAAACAGCTGCTGACTGACTTGGATAGAAGTTTTTGCAGCCTTAAAATTAACCATTAGCCTTAAAATTAACCATTAACTTAAATTCATGTGAGAAGCAGTGTTTGTTTGGTAATATCTTTTATTTGACCAACTATCTCTTTGGTGTTAGACAAGCTTTCAGGCACAAAATGGTTTTTCTCGCATCTGGGAAAGAAGCAGATACAGCCTTGGATACAGGCTATACAAAGAAGAGATACAACCTTGGATACAGTGTTTGAGCCCAAAAGCTTGCAAAAACTTCTTTTTTTTTTTGCATTTTCCTAGTTAACCTAATAAAAGGTATCATTTCTGAACCAAGAGTTCTAGATTTTTGCATTTCTTTTAGTCTCAGACCAACACGGCTACCAAATACATCCCTGAAACATGGAAGATGCTGAATTTTAGCCGATTTTGGATTTTTAAACTTCATTGCAGAACAAGATTTTTAAACCACCCTGCTTGTCATCTGACACCGCCAGGGATGGAATCCTACCTGATCCACACAACAAAGAGCAACTCAGAACAACTCAGAGACACTTTCATGGACCCAGAGGGACGGATGTTCCATCTCCAGCTCCCCCTGTGCAAAAATGAAGTTTATTTCCTACCTATGGGGACTTTTTACCATCTTTAATTTTCCCAGAGCCTGATAAAGGGTGTTTCAGCCTGAAAGCTTGCAGAAAAAGAATTGGGGTTTTTTTGTGATTTCCTAGTTGGTCTAATAAAAAGTATCATTTTTTAACCGAGAGTTCTAGATTTTTACATTTGAACTTACTAAGGGTGCACTTCATCCTATCTTCCAAGTCACTGATGAAGATATTGAACAAAGCTGCCCCCCAGACTGACCCCTGGGGCACTCAACTTGATACCAGCTGCCAACTAAGTATTAGCCCATTGATCACTA